CCCAGCACTTTTGGAGGCAGAGGCAGAAGGATTACCTGAGGTCGGGAGTTTAAGACCAGCCTGGACAACATGGCAAAACTCTGTCTCCAATAAAAATACAAAAATTAGCCAGGTGTGGTGGTATGCACCTGTAGCCTCAGCTACTCAGGAGTCCAAGGCATGAAAATCACTCGAGCCTGGGAGATGGAGGCTGCAGTGAGCTGAGATCGCACCACAACACTCCAGCCTGGGTAACAGAGCAAGCCTCTGTCAAAGAAAAGAAGAGAGGAGAGAGGAGTGGAGGGTAAGGGAAGGGAGAGGAGGGGAGGTGAGGGGGGGGGGAAGAGAAGAGAAAGGGAAAGGGAAGGGGAGAGAAGAGAAGAGAAGAGAGGAAAGAAAAATAGAAAGAGAGAAAAGGAAAGGAAAGAAAAGGCAAGAAAGAAGAGAGAAAAAGAAATCAGCAAAGTGAAGAACTGGGAAAACAAATTCTGGTGAGAGGGAACAAGGGACAGCATGTGCAAAGGACCAGTGCTGAGAAAGAATCTGATGCATCTGAGGAACCGAAACAGACTGGGTATGTCTGAAGCGTTCTGAGAGAGGAGAGGAAAAGAAGCCCGAAGACGACCCTGGATCATGCAGGGTCTAACAGGTCACGGCAAGGAGTTCAGATTTTATGATCTTATGTGCCAGGGGAGGCCATCAGAGGAATTAAGCCCCAAAATGACATGGACTGATTTACCCAGACCAAGCTCAGTACAGAGCTCATCACACAAAGGGGATGGGCAAAAGTCTGTGGAACATCTGAATAAATAGACTCAAACTTGATTTCTGAGATGCAGAAAACTGCTGGCTTTACAGGAAGAAGAGCAAGATTTCAGCTTTTGCCCATGAGAAGAACAAACAGTTTCGCCTAATCCAAATTCGCTTTCAGGCCTCTCTGCCTAAGCAGCACACAGAGCCACTGGAATCCACAGGTGCATCATGACAGAGTAATTTCAGTGATTATTATCAAATGCCTCTATTTTAAAAAGCCCAGAAGATTGTATTAGCATGATCCAATATTTATAAAATGACATTCAGCCATAATGAGGGGCTGAAAAATTAAGATCAGAAGCAAAAGCCATGTCTCTGGGGAGAGAGAGTAGCATGAGCAAAAAGACACACTTATACTCAGCTTCTTGGAACTTGGTTTCTGATCTGTAAAATGGGAAGGACAGTAGCAAAGAGAAAAATATGTGATCAGTTAGCAGAGGACCCAAAGGCCTTTAATAATGTTTTCTCATTCATTCCTGTGTTAATAAAAACACCTAAAAAGGATGATTTGGCCATTCACATATCCATCCAACAAATTGCCAGTGTTTTAGTACCTAAGATGTCTTATGTCCTGCATCAGGCACTGAAGATAAAGTTGTGAACAAGATTCTCATGGTCCCCATTCACATGGAACTTATCATCTGGGAATAAAACTTGCATCGGATGAACAACACCTGCTGTGATGCGTTTTACTAAGGAAGAGTGCAAGGTGCAATGGGTACCATTACAAAGAGAGCTGACCCAGATGGAGACAGGAAGTGCAAGGCAGCAGGTAGGGGAAAGGCTCCATGGAGGATGCCAATCTCATGTGCATTCCTGAGGCAGGAACATTCTGGCAATTGGCAGAAGCCAGTGTAAAGTGAGCACAGTGGGACGTGGAGCACGTTGAACTTGGAAGGTTTATGGAAGACCAGCCCTCAGAGCCTTGGAGGCCACAGCAGGACTTTGGTCTTTTCTGGAGCAATGGGAAGTCTCAGAAGGGCGTGGGACAGAAGCTGGGCAGAGACAAGGAAGAAAAGAGGTAACATGAACATGCTTATATTCTAGAATAATCTCTTTGACATCTGTTTGGAGAATGGAAAAAAGTCAAAAGAGTTAAGTCAAAGGAGCCTGTTGGAAAGTGTTCCACTTACCAAGGAAACAGACAACGCCTGTGTTCACCAGGGCAGTGGTGGCAGAGATGGAGAGGCCTGGGCAGACCCAAGGTATACTTCGGAAGTAAAATGGCAGAAGGAAGTGACTGATTGGAAAAGTGGGTAAGAGACTGAAAAGAGAGAAACATGACCCGGGGTTTTTGAATCAGTTCCAGTGGAGTCAAATGAGCTTTCTGGAGACATGGAAAGCAGAAGGTGAGTAGACAGCGAAGGGGAAATGGGTATATCAAGAGGTCAGTTTTGGAGATGTTGAGCTTGGAGAGCCTACAACATGCTACAGGGCTTCAGGTGGACTAAAGATGAGCAGAAAGAGCATATGTAAACACACACACACACACACACACACACACACCCCTACACATACATATGCACACACCCCCCACACACACAATACACATGCGCACACACCTCCCATACACTTCACATACACATACATCACCCCCACACACACAGACCCCCATACACATGCATACACATACACACCCACACACATGCATACACACCTCCCATACCCACACACAGCCCCCTCCATACACACAGACCCCTATACACATGCATACACACACACACATCCATACACATGCACACACCGTCATACACATGCATACATACCCTCTGTACACACACATACACCCTCATACACCCCCATACACACACACACCCTCCATACACATACATGCATACATGTACATGCACACCCACATACACAGACACAGCCTCCATACACACACACCCATACACAAACATACCATCCTTACAACCCCATACGCACACACACAACCCCATACACTCCCATATACACAAACACCAATACACATGCACACACACCCTCCATACACACACACTCATACACACATGTACACACCCCCCTTATGGCCCCATACACCGCCCCATATACTTCCATACACACAAACATCCATACACATGCACACACATCCTCCATATACACACACACATGCACACACCCCCTTTATTCCCCCATATGCACACATACATATACCCCCATATACACACACACCCAGACATGCATACACACATACACCAATACACTCCCATACACACACATACACACACACACCCAATACACAGGCATGCACACACACCACATCCATACACACATACTCATACACCCCCATTCACACACACTCATGCATACGCACACATGCATACACACTAAGATCCAGATTTATGTGGCCAGTATCAAGGAGGGCCATGAAGAGTAGCGCAGATGTGATATGTTTAAGCAGAGGTATCCTGGACTCTTAGGGTACCTAATGGAATGGGTGATTCTATCATCTAAACACACATTAGTCAGCATTAGTAAAAACTAAGATGCGGCAAGAGACCGAGGTTGTCCCACGTTGCCTTACTAGTGGGCATGCACAGCAGCTGATGATTTTGCTCACAGAGGTTGTCCCACATCGCCTTACATAGCAGTTGATGACTTTGCTCAATCAAAGTAAGATCCCTCAATTTGGTACCATAGCCCACTTCATTATGCCTAAGGCTTGTGTCAACACTTGTGAGAAACATATACAATTAATGCCCTTAACAAGAGCTATCTATAATCACCCAGGGCCTCCTGCTTTGAATTCAGACTCAAAGTGAGTGAGATCAGTGAGACCACACCCTCACCCTCACCTAGGCATCTCTGAGCATCTTCTTTGCTCCCAGTTTATTAGCATCCTGGGAAACCCCATTCCCCAGAGGTAGCCAAGATGACATGGCAGCTGGGCAGTGGGTTCTATGGGTCTAAAATTCCTAAGAGACGTCTAGGCTGGAGGAATAAATGTCAGAATCGCCAGCACAGAGGAAGTATCTGAGGCCATGGAGTGAGTGAGGCCATCCATGGGAAGAACACCGAGTAAGCCCGAAGAACCCTTAACACTCCATGGCCAGAGTATGCTGACAAGAGACTGAGAAACAGCATCTGGGGGTTTGGTGAAAGCCAAGACAGGTGTGGGTTAGAGCCAGGCAGCCTTTGGTCAGGGAGACCTGTAGAAGGTGGCCTCCCTTCTCCAACAAGCAATTGTCCTTACAATGTAGCCGGGATATGTGATTATTCAGAGAAGTGAGCTTCACATTCTCAGAGCCATAACTCTTCCTGGCTGATATCACCAGGTAACCCTCTTCGAGGTGCACCTTACACAGGTATACCCCACATCTAGAGTCTGTGTGTTCTCCCAGAGTAGCCCTCCTTCAGGTACTGCCCTTGAAATATGTCAGGTGTACCTCATAGGCCAGTCCCATGCAGGTATCCATCAAGAATTTACACTAGGTCTTCAGCCCCACTGGTCAAGGATAAAAGCTTGGCATTTAGAATGTCAGGATGTTAACCTTATAATATATAATAATAATATAATAATACATAATAATATATAATAATATAACGTCATAATAATCTATGAGAGTCTCCCTATATAAATTACATAATACATATACTATAATGTATAATAATAGATAATAATATAACCTTATAATCTGACTGGGAAGTCTCCCTAAATATATAATATATATGTAAATAATATATGGACATAATGTATACATATGTAATATATGTAAATAATATATGTAAATATATAACATATGTTAATATGAAATGTTTATATAGAAATATATAATATATAACAATAATATAATTAATATAATCTTATAATAATCTGACTGTAGAAGCTTCCCTGAATCTATAAAACCTATGTCTATGTGACCTTGAAGAAAAGAAGTGACCTCAAATTCTTCAGAAGCTCTTTCCTTCCCTGATATGCCACTATCATCAGGCTCCCAAGCAAAACCCAGCGATACCCTACCTGTAGCTAAAGCTTAGAATCTCAAAGCTAAAAGAAATGCTGAATCCAGGTGACATGTGACTCATACCAAATCCTGAAGAATTCACTCAGCCTTGGTTTGAACACCTCTGAGTATGGGGAACTCACTGCCTACAGAGCTATCGATTGCCATCTCAGAGAGCTCTATTTGTAAGTAAGTTCTTCCCCCATGATTCATGGTCAAAACTAGCCATCCCCATTACAGCCCCAAACAGGATGGATCACATACCTGTGGGCACCGCCTGGTCCAGCATTGGTTTCTCCCATGTGTTAATCTGCTCCCAGGTGAACCCATTGGTCCCTAGAGCCACACTATAACCACAGTTGCTGTAGTGCTCATCAAAGGCACAGCCACCTGCAGACAAGAGAGATATGGGTAAATACATTCCTGTGTCTGAGGCTTGGTTCGTTACCCTGTCTCATTGGCTCTTCATTTACAGCTTTGAATTTTAAACTCTGGAGAAGATTTTCTTTTATGAAAAAAAAAAAAAAGACGAGCAAATTGGATTTTTATATTTGCTTTGGTGCTCTCAGGAAAGGCACTGGCATCTGCAGGCCCCCCTATTTTTAAAAGTTAATAAGGCTAGTTACATTGATTTTAATCTTCCTTCCTGAGAAAGTAAACAGCAGCGTCTCATTCTAAGTAGGAAAAATGAATGCCGGGGCATGCCTCTGTAATTGCTTTGTGCAGCACAGGGAGATGCTGTGAGGCAGCAGAAGGAGCACCCACTTCCGAGTCTGGCAAAACTAGACAGCCATCACCTTCAGAGGGCTGTGTGAGCTCAGGCCAGAGGCTTCCTACCTGGGCACCTCAGTTTCCTCACCTGTGAATACGGAGGGAACTGTCCAACCTTATAGAACCGCCATGAGGGTTAAATGGAATAACATTTAAAACCACAGAATACTTTCTCAGTGCCTACCTGTTTCTCTGTAAAAAGCTGTCTGAAAAAAAAACATTTTTCATGGGGTGAGAAATGAATTGGTAAGAAATTAGACAATCATGCACCTGGAAGATAATAAAGTCAATGTTGATCATATTTCAAGCTTCTCCCTTTAACTTTAAAGGTCAAGCCATCCACCATTTGAGAATAAGTTACATTCATTTGCTGTTGACAAGGATTCACTGAGCATATGCTCTGGGCTGTAAGTCCCATCAAGGTGACATTGGGAAAGATGTGGGGTGTACGTCAGAGGCTCCAACTAGGAAACACTGATCTGTCCAGAGAAATAGGAGCCCATTACGTTCTGGAGGAGAAAGAAGAAGCAGAGGAGAAGTGAAAAGGGCTTTGAAGGTTGGGAGCATCTCCATGGGCGGAGGGCACTATGAATGGCATTCTTGGTTGAGTCCGCAGGGTACACAAACGCAGGGAGGCAGAACTGGGTCTGAGTTCTACAGCAGCCTCCTGGCTGGTCTCCCACACCTGTTTCACACTCCAGTCCATCTTTCCAGTGCCCCTTTCTTGTCTCCTTCATGTTCAGAGGTTGCATCACATCACCCTCCACCTCCTTTAAATGTTCATAGGTTTCCCACCCCACAGCACACGAATGTCTGCTACAGATTAAATGTTTGAATGCCCCCAAAATCCATGCTCAAGTTTTAACCCCCGAAGTGATGGTATTAGGAAGCATGGTCTTTGGGAGGTAATTAGGACATGAGGGCAGAGTCCTCATGATTGGGGCTGGATTGGGATTAATGCCCTCATAAAGAGACCCCAAAGAGCTATCTCAGCCCTTCCACCATGTGAGGACACAAGGAGAATCCAGGTGACATGTGACTTGTACCAAATCCTGAAGAATTCACTCAGCCTTGATGTGAACACCTCCTGTGCCATCAAAGAAGCAGGAGCTGGGCCCTCAGCAGATGCTGAATCTGCCAATTCCTCAATCTTATACTTCCTAGTCCCCAGGACTGTGAGAAATAAATTTCTGTTGTTTATAAGCCACTCAGTCATGGTATTTTGTTATAGCAGCCTAAACAAACTAAGAAAATAGCCAAACATGGCTTTCTTAAATGTGCAGGAATCATGCCACACTAGCCTGGCCCATCTCTGCAGATTCTCTAACATCAGACTATTGTCTCCATCAGCTACAAAGAACCAAATTCTTTCTCTGCACCCCAGAACTGAGATTTCCTCTGGACAGTGGTGGTGGACATCCTATTGACAGACTTAATATAGAATATGGTCCAGACACCATGGAAAAAAACCTGTGATGTCAAAGCTTTCTCCACTTCCCTTTCTTGTTATATATGGATGCCCAGAAGAGCTGGCCTTTATCAACTGCTATGGTCCAAATGTGTGTGTTTCTCTGAAATTCATATGTTGAAGTCTAATCCCCAATATAATAGTATTAAGAGATGGAAACTTTGGGAGATGCTCCCAAAGGATTCTGAGGACTCTGTTCTCATGAATGAGATCATGCCCTTATAAAAGATGCCCTAGCAGATTCTGCCATGTGAGGACACATAGAGGGTGACATCTATGAGTCATGGACCCTCTTCAGGCACCAAATCTGCTATCACCTTGATCTTGGACTTGCCAGCCTTCAGAACTATGAGCAATCAATTTCTATTTTTTAAGTAACACAGTCTGAGTCATTTTGTTATAGCAGCCCAAATGGACTGAGACCACTCAAGCACTCCATTGAGTATCTCCACTCCATGGAGGAGAGCCACCCAGAGAATTGTCTGACCAGGAATATCAGCACTCAACTTTTCGGGAGCAAAATATAAACTTTTCTTGTCATATGCCAATGAGATCTTAAGGTTTAATTGTTAGCACTGTAGAGCTTTGCACAACCTGACTAATATATGAAGCATGTCACATACCTTAACACGGTGACCTAAAGAAAGAAAGCAGCAGCATATTCTCCCAAGCATTTGCTCTGTGTCAGAGTATATTAGACACCGATTATATACACTATCTTATTAGCTTTCCTGTCGTCCTCACAAACCACATGAGGTACATTTTATCTCAACTTCGAATCTAAGACAATTGATGCACAGAGGGGATAAACGACCTGCTCAGGCAACATGGAAGGAAAGAAAGTGTTGGAATCAACACTAAATCCATGGAAACCTAGCTGTAGAGCCCGTGCCCATTCTAACAGACCAGAGAGAGAATTACTCCCCCAAACCAATAACAAGGTCTTTCACTTATAAGGTAATGTGAGGGGACCAGGAAGATAAAGAACTTCCAAGGGGGTTGGGTCTCTCCATTCGAATCCACTTTTTCACTTATTCTAGAAACATTCAACAAACTTTTTTTTAACGGGCTCTGCGTATGGCACAGAACTGATAGATATGATCCTTACCCTCAAAAGTTTGCAGAACAGAGTGAAAGATAAGCACACAAACATACAGTGAAGATGCAAAGCAAAATATGCTTTCTTATGTATGTGTTGATGCTAAAAACCCAAGTTACTAATTTATTTTAGTTGATAGTTTAATGAACCAAATCCTCTTCCTTCTTCTAGATAAGATCTAAGAGAGCTCACAGTTAGACCTCTAGGCATCCCAGGTTACAGCTCCGAAGCAAGGTCACATTAATAGTTACCCCAAGTCCATTGGATCTATTTCCCACCCCTCACCTCCCTGCCTCTGCCTAACTGAAGGGAGACTGCTCAGCTGATCCTGAGCTGACTGCTGACAGGTCCTGGCCCTCTAAGATCTAGGGACGTACCTCCTCTCCACAGTCACCCACGGAACCACCTTGCTTCTCCTCTCTGCTGAGCTTTGTTGGTCACTTCAATCTGCAGCAGGTAAGCAAATACTTTTCCCTTCTTACAGCCTGCTCTTTGATACTAGGATTCCACAGCAGCAGGCCTTGGACCTCAGTGACCCAATTTTTATTTTCAAACCACAGTCCTCTCTTTGCTTCCGCAGAGGAGCTCACTTAGAGTGAATTTAAAGGCAGCTTTGTACTCTATCTTGAGCCACTATTTCTTCAGAATATACAGGCCCCTCTGTCAATTCTATCCCACTCTGCCATAATTTGTCATCACTTATGGGATGACATATGTGTTCAGGAGGGAAAATGGGGACCTTAGGGTCACTTAGAGGAACGTTAATGTCCCTCCTACAGAAGAGTTTCTACAAAAAGGCTCCTGTTCTGTACTTCTATCACTCATACACATCTGAATCCCAGCAATACACAGTCATGGTTTTTCCATGGAGACCTCGGGCTCCCAGCAAAGCAGGGAATTTCAAGGAATGCTGCCTAACTGGTCACTGGTCCAGCCACAGCAGCTGGTTCAACATAGAAGCAGGAAATACTGCCTGATGACAAAAATCAAATTGAGGACAGGAAAAGAAAGAAAAGCAGGACAGAAGGGGGGAGCCACGAATCTATGCTGCGATTTTCCAGGTGCTCATCTACTAAAAGGGGGTTACATATTTAGCTCTGAGCTTCTGACACCCAATAGAAAAAAAGCAAAAACTGGTCAGATACTGGACACTCTTGTGTTTATGTAATAAAAGCCAAATTGCTCGGGGAAATGACAACCATTTCAGGTGCTTTGATCAGACAAGAACTCTGCAGGAATAGTCAAAACAGAAACTCCATATCCCATAAGGAAACAACATCCACACACGGGGGTGAATGGCCAATTTAATGAGACTTTTCTCATAATCATCTCCTTTATAAATTGACAGCATCACCCAAACGTACAATTCAGTAAAAGCTCATGGGGTCCAACACAATGCAGTCCGGATACCTGCTCCCTATTGGTCTGACTTGACTCAAAGGTATGTTTTAAGAAATATTCAGGAGAGAAAATATAACTAATATGTATTTTAGGCAACTTTCTGAGTCTTCTGTCTCTACATTGAGAAACAGAGTGGCTATGAGCTCCAGACTGTATAACCCAACAGCAACCGACATTGCCCTCTGGGTATAGCCTCTTGGCCTCATACCCTTTCCCCATTTCTGAGCCTTCATTTTCTGCTGTGCAAGGCAAGGGGCTGAACAAGATGATTGCAACAAACCTTCCAGTTGTAATATTTAAGAATTCCAGAGATTCAGAAAGAACTGGAACTCTCAGGAACCACAGAGATACAGACCCATGCAGTCAGCACAAGTACCAGCTAGGGTGTCATGCCACTGAGAGCCACCAAGAGGAGGAGAAATTAAAGTCAAGCTTCCCCTGGACTGCGAGCAGAAAGCATCTAAACCCAATAACATCTATCTGTCTTGGCACAATTCCTAGGGGCCATAACACGTAACACATACAAAAAAGGCCCCAGACATTGCTGCAGGTATTTATGGTAGCTACTCATGGGAGAGTTATGGTTGCAGAGAATCCCTGATACGGTTTGGCTGTGTCCTCATCCAAATCTCATCTTGAGATGTAGCTCCC